GTCCCAGTAATATCCGTTTCGTTTCTAGAATATCTCATGGTAGAGTCTGTCTTTATCTAAGCAGTGAGACAACGGTAGACAATTTAAATACCACTAATAAGAGCATCAACGTAAACAATCATACACTCGAATTACGGCCACTTCTTTCCAAAGCTAAACGTGTGATACTTTCTAACGTATGTCCAATAATTCCACACAGTGTCATTGAAGCAAAATTGCTGGAATTAAACGTCACGAAAAAGTCTCAAATATCTTTTATTAAAGCAGGAATGAACGACCCTGGGTACACTCACATACTCAGCTTCAGGAAACAAGTGTATATTGAGCCGGAAGATATAAATAAATTGCCAAACGTAATCGAGATAAACTTTGAAAATACATTGCATTAGATATATATCTCCATGGAGAAGTTAACCTGCTTCCTTTGTAAGGAAAAAGGACATCTTTTACCAAATACTGCTAGAACGAAGGTGTCCACGACAAAGGACCACAGATCGCCCCCCAACAGGTCGTTCCTTCTTCCACCCCAGAGGTTACTCCTTCAGAAAATTCAGAGAAAATCCAAAACATTTCACCTCCTAATCAAGAAAAAATAGCATTCAAAATTCCTAGTGTCGGAGGTATAAAACGCGCCCTTTCGAGTACCAGTTCTTCCATTGATGGTGCATCAGAAATCAACATAACAGATAATTCCGCGAAGATAATCAAGGAAATTACAGAAATAGAAAATTCAGACAGTAAGAAGCCAGAAAAAAAGAAAACGAAAAAAGTTGATCTCTCATTTGATATTAGAGAACAATTAGAACTAGCAAAATCATACATCTTGAAAATCTGTGTAACTTCCTTGAAGAAAATTTCATCAATCAAGATATAGGCAGTGTAATTTCAAAATATACCGACGATGTGTCAGCTCTCATAAATATGCTAGTGGGCACGCATGACCACATTAAACATAGAAAATTGAAGACTCGAATAAGCAGAACCATTAAAAAGCTAACATCTCCAGCTAACGTCTCCGTACAAACATGGTGTCACAAGTGAAGATCCCAGCTCCTCTGAAGATTAACTATGCTTAACACAAATTTGCTTCATCCGTCGAATTCTACGGTGCCAAGGACACGGACAAATAGCACTATCTCAAACCTTCGCTTACTCTTTTCGAACACAAGGAGCATCCTTCGACGCAAAGCAAAAGTAGAACTACTCCTGAAGAACCTGGACATACTTGTGTGTGTAGAATCATGGTTATGGCCCGAAAAAGATATACAACCGACTCGAGAAAACTCGTCGGAAAAAGTGATCACGAAACAATCACATTGTAAAAAAATTAAAAATTTGGATACTGAAGCACTGGAATTAGTATACAATTGATCTAAACTATTTAATAATAATAATAATAATAACAACAATAACAACGACAATTATGATACAGTTTTTTTTTTACCTATTGATAGCTTAGTATCTCTACATTATCTGGTTCAAATTGTGTGATGATATCTCGTACGGTTTAAAAGTTACACCAAAATGTCACTGAATTTCTCGAATTGGACCACTGTGCGTCGCGGCGCCTCCGCGGATTCACGGACGAGTAGCACTTCGGCGCCCGATTCGAATCTGTTCAATACCGCTTTGATTTCTTTCTTGATTGGGCGCCAGACGCGTTTCCGCGTCGCGATAAAGAACGTACGCGAGATGCGATTCTACGGGGAGAGAGATATTGCGAAGTCAATCCCGGAAAACGCGAAAGACTCAAATCGGCGCGGCGGCGGAACGGCTCGGTAGCTCAGTATTCGCACGCAATGGTAGAGTGGCGGGATTCTTACAGGGTAAGGAGGCTAGAGGCGGAGGCGCAGGCGGATTTGAGAGAATATCCCGGGGTAATTCGTAAGAGATCTCGACTCAGCAGTATTTGTTAAAAGCAGCGCTGTTTATTTAAACCTAATTAATCTAAGCGATGAACAGTATGATCCCATATACCGACAACCAACTCGTTCGTTAACACTTAGCAAATGACCGATGTCCGAGATTCTAGTCCCGTGAGCGGGAAATGCCAATTCCTAAGCGCGATACAGTCGTCGATCTAGTGTCGACTTTCGGACTACTACGCGACGCAATTAACTGTAACGCAACTCTAATAACTAACGAGACGCGACGCAAGTAACCTAACGCAATGTAACGCGACGAAACGTGACGAGTCGCGGCAAAGCGCGACGAAACGCAATTATTCTAAACGCACGAAATTTAACGCAATTAAACTAAACGCGACGCGACTTATTCTTACGCACGAATCGATTCTGTATCGACGACCGTCTAAAGAGAGAAAGCGAGAACTAGCGCGACAAACCACGAAATGTCCGATATGACAAAACATGCACTTTCCGATCTGTTCCCGCGACAATGAGAATACGAAATCGAGACGTGGGAGGGCACAATATTGGCAACGGCTTTCGCGAGACTAAGAAACTAAATTGTGGCTTACGCGGTACCAATCCCCCAGGTCCGATTCAGTGGCCTGCCGAGTATGGCTTCTAGGAAGATCGAGAAGCGATCTTCCTATTTCACGATACTTCCGGAATTTCCCCAATAACTTAATCTAATTACTAACTAACGCTCAATGCCGACATTCCGGCCACATTTTGCAGAACCGGCCGGCGATTGGCACGTCTGGTGGTCGACAACCCACGGTACGTTACTCTCGATTTCGTATTCTTTACAATAACATAAGGTGAGGAGCTTACCGAGATGTCCGAGACTGGGCAGCTTACGGAAGACGGCAGCGATGGATATAGCAAATGAAACGTTAACTTGTTACGGAAAAACAACTCTGAACGGGGCAAATGCCGAATACAGAATGCTAAACCGCGTGCCCTTATGCCGGTATTCGGACTCCTCGTGATCACCCCCACCCTAGGCCGAAGTCTCCGTCTTCTCGCGAAGGCATCTTCGGCAGGACTTCCTGCTGCTCCGCGACCACTCTTCCTCTATCGTAGGTCCATAGCGGAGAAGCGGCAGGGTAGCGGTGCGTGCCCTCGGCGTACGTTGTTCCTTCGCTGGTGGTGACGTCGTTACCCGGTGATACATACAAAATAAAGCGGCGACAGATTCTGTTCGTACGATATATTACGTGCGCTTTGTTCTCTCTCTAGACGGTTTTTGCCCCTTATGTAGTGACTGTCCGATCCTCCGAGGAGGTTCCTTGTGACGGGTATAAAATACCACGTCACAACAATTTTCCGGATTTAATATTTTCGGAAAAGATAGGAGAGAGTCAACGGGGGGTGGTATAATTATAATAGTACGTAAGAATATCGCCTTTTTCGTAGTAAATCACCCCACCCTTCTCAATTGTCCTGTCGAAGTCGGTGGAATTAGATTTACCAATACTAATTCTTCTTTAGAAATACTAGCTTGTTATAGAGTTCCAGGTTTTATTCTTTCTCAAGATCAGTGGAACCAAATTACGGACAATTTTGGTGTATGTGACAACTGCCCATTATAATGGGGGATTTTATCGCACGCCATACGACGTGGAATTGTTCCGATACCGACCTCAGCGGTGAAAGATTCTTACAGACTGTCGTTAATAATAACTTTTTTCTCCACAATCCAAATTCACTCACCCATATAGATTTCTATCGGAATAAAAAGTCAAACATCGATTTCATTCTATCTTCCATGAATATTGCTGATAAAATCAGGGTAGAAACATACGACGAAACTTTGGGTTCTGATCATTATCCAATCTTTATAAACATAGATGTCGAAAAGAACTTTTATCATAAAAAATCTTTTAAAATTAATTCCACCCGAACCGACTGGAAAAATGTATTTATAGATTTAAAAAATTCATATATCGAGTTCTTCGATCCGCTTTATGACACCCTTTCAGCGAGTGAAAAATACAAAATTTTAGTTAATATAATAACAAATAGCATTAAGATTAATACACCCAAAAAAAGAGCTGTTAATTATCTTGTACACAGGAACTCAGTTTCTTGGTGAGACTCCAAATGTGATAAGTTTAAAAGATTAAGAAAAGCTTCCTATAAAAAATGGGAATATACAAACAACCATACTGACTTAATCAATTATAAAAAAAATAGCTGCCCAAACCAAACGACTACTCAAAAAGAAAAAAAAAGATAGTTTCCGAAGTTTCGCCGATAGCATTAACTTCCATACTGACATGACATTTACTTGGAAGAAGATTAAGATTCTAAAAAATAAATGGATTAAAACGAATGAAATGAGCGTGACAGAAAATTTATAACTTAAAAATCAAATGCAAATTGTACTTAATGAAATAAGCCCCCCATGGGTTCCTACTGATCCTTCTTACTTTCCCGATTGTAATGCTAACGACTTTTTAGACGTATATTTTAATTTAACAGAATTTAACATAGCCTTAAACTCTCGGAATGAATTCAACATAGCCCTAAGCTCTCGGAACTCTAATTCAGCTCCAGGGTTAGATGGAATTAATTACGAAGTTATTAAGAAATTGCTTATAAAATATAGGCTTTTAGACATCTATAACCAAATTTATACTACAAATGATTATCCGTTAGAATGGAAACAATCGTACATCCATTTTATTGAGAAATCCAACGAGAAAACTGTTCGACCAATAGCCCTTTCGTCTTGTTTCTGCAAACTATTCGAAACTCTTATTAAAAATAAATTACAGTGGTGGCTAGAACACAATAATCTACTGCCAATAAGTCAAACAGGATTTCGCAAAGGTCAATCGTGCTCTGACAACCTTACCAGGTGCCTTTGATAACGTTAATAGCGAAATTTTACTAAACAAATTAGCCATTAACGGCTGTTCATACCGCTTAATAAGATTCGTGAAATTTCTTACATACCAAAGAGAAATTTTTACAGAATTAACGAGCAATGCAGTCAGATACGTTTACGAAGGTATCTCTCAGAAAGGTGTCCTTAGCCCACTTTTGTATATATTATACGTCTCAGACATCACCAATAATTTGCCTAGAAATGTCTCTGTTTCTCCATTTGCGAATGATTTTGCAATCTATTCGAAAGTTTCTCCAGTAAATAAATGTAAACATCTCATTGAAAAATCTATATCTATCATCAAAGACAACTTTCTTTCCTTAGGATTAGAATTATGCCCGCAGAAAACGGCACTACTTCATTTTAACAAAAAAAATATCCGTCCTGGTCAAACTGAAATTAAGGTAGATGAATATGTGGTGAAATCTTCCGACTCCATCCGGTTTCTAGGTATAATTTTTGACTACAGTATGACCTTCCAATCGCATCTAAACCATGTCCAAAGAAAATGCATTAAAGCTCTCAATATTGTAAAATTTCTCTCTGGAATAAGATGGGGTTCTGATCCAACAACGCTTTTAATTATGTACAAAAGCTTTGTTCGTTCGCATATAGATTATGGGCACTTTATCTATTTTCCATCTCGTAAAAACTTAAGAGATAAACTAGCAAAATGTAGTATGCCGCGATTAGATCTGCTTTGGGTTATCGAACATGCACACCCACTAACATTTTGTTAGCGGAATCGAAGCTACTGCCAATTTATGAACGAACAAAGCTTTTATGCTATAACTATCTAGCAAAGGTCCTTTTGAACACCGGCCTTCCATATTCCATCAATGACATTTTACACTTTCATGTTGTTTTTCTTTAAAGCTGTAAACTGCGAGGCATGCTTCGATGTTCGGTTTATGGAGCAAGGATTTAACATTAAGCGGTGGAAATAGACCGAGTTTACTTAATTTTTTCATCAGATCGATTCTTTGGAAATCTAATAAGGGACATATGGTTCAGGTCTTGTGTTTCAAAGCCACA